GACCCCGCTCTTCAGCCCCCCCCCCCCCAGCTTTCTCCTTGCCCGTGAGCATCTCCCACAGGTCACCCACGGGGGAGTTTCTGCCTTTGGCATGAATTCATTTATCCCCTCCCCAGCCACCGTTTCAGAGGGGAAATGAAATACTAAAAAAAGAAAATAATAAAAAGAAATGAGCACATCTGAGGGCTCAGGTAACCCTGTGGATGTGCCATCTGTCCATCCATCCACCAACCAGGACCCTCCAGGTGGGGGTGCTGCTCATCAGCCCTACAGCAGCAATTGGGAGCACCACGCACCACCTGGTGTTGGGCAGGGGTTCTCTGGTGGGAATGGGTCCCTCGCTGGACCACATCTCCAGGTGCTCACCTCTCCTCCTCTGCGCAGGTGGCCAACCTCCTGCGGCTCTTCCAGATCCCGCAGATCAGCTACGCCTCCACCAGTGCCAAGCTCAGCGACAAGTCCCGATACGACTACTTCGCCCGCACTGTCCCACCAGACTTCTACCAAGCCAAAGCCATGGCGGAGATCCTCCGCTTCTTCAACTGGACCTACGTCTCCACCGTGGCCTCGGAGGGTGACTATGGGGAGACGGGGATTGAGGCCTTTGAGCAAGAAGCCCGCATGCGCAACATCTGCATCGCCACCTCGGAGAAGGTGGGGCGCTCCATGAACAAGAAGACCTATGACGGGGTGGTCCGGGCTCTGCTGCAGAAGCCCAATGCCAGAGTGGTTGTGCTGTTCACTCGAAGTGAAGACGCCCGGGAGCTGCTGGCGGCTGCCCAGAGAGCCAATGTGTCCTTCACATGGGTGGCCAGTGATGGGTGGGGAGCCCTGGAGAGCGTGGTGGCTGGGAGTGAAGCGGTAGCAGAGGGAGCCATCACCATCGAGCTGGCAGCCTACCCCATTAAGGAGTTTGCTGCCTACTTCCGTAACCTCCACCCCTACAACAACAGCCGAAATCCCTGGTTTCGGGAGTTTTGGGAGCAGAAGTTCAAGTGCAGCTTCCACACGCAGGACTGTAGCCGGTACTCCCTCAAGACAGGCAAGTTTGAGCCAGAGTCCAAGATCACGTTTGTGGTCAACGCAGTTTATGCCATGGCTCACTCCCTCCACAACATGCACCAGGCGCTGTGCCCCAATGCCACCAAGCTCTGCGATGCCATGAAGCCCGTCAATGGCAAGAGGTTCTACAAGGACTTCATGCTCAATGTTAATTTTGACGGTAAGTCCAGAGTTGGAGATGGGGTTTGGCTGCCTGACTGGAAGGGGATGGGTGGAGGGGCAGCAAGGAGGAAGGAGAGCCAGGTTTGACCCAAAGCCCACCAGTTCCTCTAGCCTGCCCTGTGCCATGGGCTGTGGTTGTCCCAGGATGCCAACAGCCCACTATCACCCTTGGGAGGCAATCCAGGCCGTCTGTCCCCAGTGTGGAGAAGCTGGTGACTAACTCCAGCCTTCTAGAGCTAGGTGAGACCAGCCTCACAGGAGACCCTCCAGGAACATGGGTCCTTGGAGACCTCACTTGCAAGCGCCATGATTTATTCATATTTCAGAGCTTAAGCTGGAGGGAGACGCTCAATCAGGGACCTACATATTTGGGGGTGAATTAGAGTTGTGTCCTCTGTGACTTGGGGTGAGCCCAGCTACCCAGGTGTCATTGAGATTCATGGAGGCTGCAAAATCCACCTCTTTGTTCCTGCAGAGCTGGCTGGGGCTGCTGGGCTCTTAGGCACTTGAGGAGGTAGTTCTCCACTGTTGCTTTCCTGCTTCTAACGTGTGTTAGAAGTTAGGCAGCAAGCATAAGACTGAAGGAGGGGAACAGGTTAGATATTTGCCCGTGGTCATGGTGGGATGTGATGACTTGATGGAGCCCCGTCTCCACTCCGTGAGTGAGCGCTCTCCTGCCCCACAGCAGTCACCATCCCCCCTTCTCATCCCTCCAGCTCCATTCAGGCCAGCAGACACCAACAGTGTTGTTCGATTTGACCGCTACGGCGATGGGATTGGGCGCTACAACATCTTCAACTATCACCACATGGATGGGCGGTATCGGTATCAGAAGGTGGGCTACTGGGCTGAGGGGCTCATCCTCAACACCAGCCTCATCCCTTGGGCTGAGACCTCCATCCCTGTGTCCCAGTGCAGCGACCCCTGCAAGAAGAATGAGATAAAGAGCATGCAGCCTGGTGACATATGCTGCTGGATCTGCATCCCCTGCCAGCCCTACGAGTACTTGCTGGATGAGTTCACCTGCATGGACTGCGGGCTTGGTTACTGGCCCAACGAGACCCTGAATGGCTGCTATGAGTTGCCTCAAGAATACATCCGCTGGAAAGATGTCTGGGCCATTGGGCCTGTCACTATCTCTTGCCTGGGTTTTATCTCCACCCTCTTTGTTTTTGGAGTCTTTGTGAAGAACAATGACACCCCCATTGTGAAGGCCTCTGGCCGGGAGCTCTGCTACATTCTGCTGACTGGGGTACTCATGTGCTATAGCATGACCTTCATCTTCATTGCAAAGCCCTCCACCGAGGTGTGCACGCTCCGGCGTCTGGGGCTGGGCACGTCCTTTGCCGTCTGCTATTCAGCCCTCTTGACCAAGACGAATCGCATCGCCAGGATCTTCAGTGGGGTGAAGGAGGGGGTCCAGCGCCCCCGGTTCATAAGCCCCACATCGCAGGTGGTCATCTGCATGGCCCTCATCTCTTGCCAGCTGATCATCGTCATCATTTGGCTGCTGGTGGAGACCCCCGGCACAGGCAAGGAGACCGAGCCTGACAAGAGGTACATTGTCACCCTCAAGTGCAACAACCGTGACTCCAACATGCTTATTTCGCTCACCTACAATGTCCTCTTGATTGTCCTCTGCACGGTCTATGCCTTCAAGACACGGAAATGCCCTGAAAACTTCAACGAGGCCAAGTTCATCGGGTTCACCATGTACACAACCTGCATCATCTGGCTGGCCTTCCTGCCCATCTTCTATGTGACCTCCAGCGACTACCGAGTATGAGTTTGAGGGGTTTTTTTTTGGGGGGGTGGGGTGGTGTTTAATAGGACTTTATCTGAGAAGTCATGGTGATTTGGGCCCCGCAGGGTTTGTGGCTAGAAGATGTGTGGGGAAGAGGACCCTGGGGAAGGGTCTTTGGCCATGGACCTGGTGATGGTCGCCTCTGCATTGGGGCATTCGTGACCAGGTGAAAGGTGGCTGAAGGGCTGTGGCTGAGGGGTCAATGAGTCCTGGGGAGAACACCCTTCCCCTTGACAGACTGTTTGCTAGGATGATGATGGGAAATGGCCCTGAGACCTCCAGAGACCACCCCGATCTGACCACGCAGGCACTGGGGTGGGGGGGTTCTGGGCTGTGGCCCTGGGCATTGGCCCAAAGCAGCATGTTGACAAGGTTGGGGGTGCTGCTTAGGGTGCACCTGCTCTGCAGGGGCGGCATGGCCCCATCAGAGCAGTGCCCATCCTCTGCCCATGGGTCTCCAGTGGGTCCACCCTGACAGAGGGACCCGGTGTGGGGTGCAGGCAGCAGCCCCTGGCTGGTGGGGCTGGCCGGTGCCACAGTGAGGGCTTCATCCTGCCCCGCTCGGGGCAGAGGGCTGGTGGCAGGAGGACCTGATGCCCAACCCCTGTCTCCAGGTCCAGACGACCACCATGTGCATCTCAGTGAGCCTCAGCGGGACCGTGGTTCTTGGCTGCCTCTTCACCCCCAAGCTCCACATCATACTCTTCCAGCCGCAGAAGAACGTGGCCAGCCACCGCGTGGGCACCACTCGCTTCAGCGTGGCAGCTGCCAGCTCCAGCCAGTCCCACGGTGAGCAAGGTGGGGTTGGGAAGGGCTGGAGGGGGGCAGCACCCCCTTCCTGGAGGGGGAAGAGGATGGATGGGGGGTGGAAGGAGCACCCTATCATGGGCCCCTGAAGGAAAGTGGGGTGCAGGGTAGGGCATGACTGGAAATGGGGGGATGGAGGATGCTGTGTCCCCTATGGCTCATCCTTGTCCCAATCCTTCCTCTCCCATGGCTGCAATCAGGATTGGGGCTGGGAGTACTGCTCCCGGGGGCCTGTCATTGCCCTGAGGGGACATGGCCAACCCAAATGCTCCCCACCCTGGCTCCAGGGAGACACAATCACCCCAGACACCCTCCACCCCAACCTTGGGGGATGACATCACTCCGGGGGGAAATGGCCACCCCAGCAACCTTTCCCCCCAGCCCTGGGGAATTTGGCTGTCCCAGGTACCTGTCATCACCCTAGGGGGGACATGGCCACCCCAGGTACCCTCCAGCCTAGCCCCGGGGGATGCAGCTTTCCAGGGACCCATCACCCACCACAGTAGGATGCCCCCGGGGGGGGGGGGGGCTGCTGCCAGATCCCACCCTGCCCCTGACTGCTGCCTTCCCCACCAGCCTCTGCCTCGCAGTATGTGCCCACGGTGTGCAACGGCCGTGAGGTGGTGGACTCCACGACGTCGTCCTTGTGAAGGACCAGGGGAGGCCAGACCACGGTGCTGCTGCTGCTCCTGCGGCACCCGGATCCCTCCCCAGGGAGAGCAGCGCCCACGGCACAGCCTGCTCGGGGGGCTGGGGGCAACGGGGGGACTCAGCCCCCACCCCAGCACCAGCTACACATCCCACGCGTTGGGTCACGGTACGTGTCACTCCTCCCTTGCACCGAGCCACGTTACACATCCCCTGCACTGAGCCGTGGTCAACATTCCCTCCGTTGTCCCTTGCACTGAGCCATGGTGAACATCCCCGGTCTCTTGACCTGAGCCACGGTGCACGACCACCCCCGTCGCCTGCACCGAGCCATGGTGCATGTCCCCTCATCTCTAGCACTGAGCCGTGGTGCACGTCCCCCGTGTCCTTCGCACCGAGCCACGGTGGGCATCCCCTGCGTCACCCACACTGAGCCGTTGTGCACATTCCCCCATCCCCTGCGCTGAGCCCTGCTACACGTCCCCCTGTCCCTTGCACCGGGCCACGCTCCAAGTCCTCCTCATCCCTTGCACTGAGCTGAGGTGCACATCAGCCCACCATCACCTGCTCTGAGCCATGGTGAACGTCCCCCCCCGCCATCCCTTGCACTGAGCCATGGTGAACGTCCTCCTCATCCTTTGCACTGAGCCCTAGTGCACAGCCCCCGGCCCCCAAACCGAGCTGTGCTGCACGGTCCCCATCCCCTGCACCAGCCGTGGTGCATGTCCCCTGCCCCTCGCACCACGCCGTGGTGCACAGCCACACACCCTCTTGCTCAGCCACACTGAGTCACGCTTCGCTTGCACCGAGCCACACCGCGCCGCCTCCCACACCCAGCCTTGTGCCGGCACACGCTGCCCTCACCCCATTGCCCACCCCTTTCCTGGTGCAGGGTCTTTCACGTCCCTTCCTGTGCCACGCTGTGCCCCATGTCGTCGTCCCCCCCCCACCCCGGGCCAGTGGAGCCCCCTCCTCCAGGCCCTTTGCACAGTTTCACCTTTTCCTCCTCGTTTTCGGCCCCAGGAAAGCTGCCGAGCGCTGCCGGGCTGGGCCCAAGCCCCCTCCATCCCTCCCCTCGCTGTGCATAGCGCTTCTCACCCCTTCCTGCCACGGGGCAGTGGCGGGGGGGGGGGATGGCCCCGGCCCCCCCACCCCCTCCCGAGCCCGG